GACGTACGAATGACACGAGCGACTCTTGCTTAACCCCATACGATAACGCGGAGAGAGAACACAGCTTGAGACAATAGTGTGCATTTTTTTGGTTAGATATTGATACGCAAATATATACAACAAATCGCGCACACGATGACGGCGCAGTGACGCACCAATCAGATTACGCCCTTGGCATATCGATTGATCGATCAAACAAACATTGGCTGACACGTTCTGTGATCATCCAATCGGGTTCAGCCTGTCTGGAGCGTTGCGAGCGTGCGTGTGACCTGACTCGGAGGCGTGCACGATTGGACGGGTTGCTTATGCTCCGTCCTAACAGCATGTAATACAAAAATGTAAGCGACTATTAAATCAGACATTGCTAAGCTCTGGTATCAGAATGGTGAATCGAACAGTCATTACCCTTCCCAATTTTCGATTGGTACATTGGTAAAATTTGGTGACAGATCCGATTGTGAGAGTCAGTCAATTAAGTTTAATCAACATGGCTTCTAAATTTCTCACTAGGATCATACTCCGTCGATTGTCTACCGCACGCGTGAGAATCAGGTTGGTTTAGACCGGGTCTAGATTGCATCGACCACATCCTCACTCTCCGCCAAATTCTGGAGCATCGACATTCTTTTCGTAGACCTATCATTTCTGTTTTCTTCGATCCAAAAACGGCCTTGGACTCAGTTGAAAGCTCTGAAATCTGACGCTGTCTTTCCGTGAAGGGTATGCCAGAGAAGCTTATTTCAATACTATGATCACTCTACACTAGTAGCCGAGGTCGAGTTCGAGTTTACAGCACCCCGGAAAATGGTGTCCGTCAGGATTACCTCCTATCTCATTTTCTACCTTACTTTGTTATAGATTTGATTATGGAAACAGTACCATTCTCGTACAAAAATAGCGGTATTGATTTACTCCTGGGTGACAGAGTGCCTGATCTGAAGTATGCAGACGACATTGTGCTACTAAGTGAAGATCCAAGTAAGTTGCAAGCTTTTGTGGATAGTTTGAGTGCCAGTGTAGCCATATTCGGTATGCGTTTTGCACCTTCAAAGTGTAAAATGCTGCTGCAAAGCTGGATTGGTCCAGCATCCAGCCTCACTTTAACTGGGGAATTAATAGAGCAAGTGGACAAGTTTTGCTATTTGAACAGCTATATCTCATCCGATGGGCGCATCACGGATGAAGTGTCAACTCGCATACAGAAAGCTCGATTGGCCATTGCGGAAGCGGAATAAAGACAGGTGATCGTTGTTTGAACACCGCTGTCTATGCCGCATTGCACGGGTCTCGTGGGGCAACCGGGCGAGCAATGCTGAGGTTAGGCGCAGAGTATCACCTAACCGCGGCCGTCCACGGCAGCAAATGATCGACCTCCATAGACTGCTTTGGTGTGTGTTGCCTCTGAAAGCCCCCCTCAATTTGGGAAGGTGTCTTGGGTAGTGGGTGGCTAACTTTCCCTTGCACCTCGCGAAATATTCAGGATTGAGCATCTCAAATAGCCCCCTGCTGAGGAAGCCCCAATCACTGCCTTGTCGTGACGGGGGTATTTTCCCACCAAAGTTAGAGGACAAAAAGCCGACATCCGGGTTGGTAAATCACTGACAGTTGGTTAAAAACACTGATTCCAAACCAACCCAAAGGAGGTGTACGAGCCACATACACCTTCCTTGTTGTGGTTTAATTAGGCATCGAGGTGTATTGGGCACCTTGTAAATTTGACCCCGTCCGAAGGGCATATGATCCGATGAACCAGACCCCAATCCCAATAAATTGCGGTTTTCACACCGCCCCATTACCTTGCGGGTCAGGCTTTGGTTAACCGAAGGCTCCGGTTGTGGATTCCCCAAGACAATTCACCTACCTTGGCTTGGGCAACCTGGCAGTACCCGGCTCACATGCAAGTCGTGGAATGTTTTTCTTTTTCTAAAGATTATTGTAGGGTGATTTGTTTGGCACACAGTCTGGCCTCAGACGTGTGTGAAATTCAAATATGCAATACATGTGTTACGCACCATCACGACGAGACTGCATCTAGCCGTGGTGTGATGGCTTGCGTGCCTCCATGACCCTGCCAGCTACATAGAATGGCTTTTCACAGCCGAAGATCCAACCATGCCTGAAAGGTTAACGGGTAGAGGCCAGATGAAGCTCAGTCTCACAAAGCCAGCTGCTTCGGCACCTCCCGGTTTCCTTCCTCTATCCACATCCGCCCCTGGAGAGACCACTCCAGCAAATAAACACAGTGAAGAGCAGTAACCGGTAAAAAAAAAGCTAGGTCGACGTGGGAGCGGGGTACCTGGGGCTTCCTCTCGACGGTGGGAGGTCTTCGTACTTCATTGGACAGCTGCCGCCCGCCCAAGCTGGGCAGTCCCCAGACAATAAGGTACTGTCCCGTCCACGTTCCACCTGTCGCACTGGGTGCATGAGACTAAGGGCCAATCCCGAAAAACGGACCGACAATCAACGCACCAGCGAACAACACAATTAGTCGAAATTCAAAGGCCTTGCGTGACAGGTCTCTAGAAGCTCCCACGCGGGTGCTTCGTTTACGCTCCCGCGTTGGATTTACGCCCCACTGTCTTGTGGGTCAGACTCTTGAGTCAAAGGCTCCGATTGGGGTTCCGAAAGACAAACCCCTTTATCGATGTGGGCTGCCGCGAAGTATGTCTGGCCTAAA